GAGAGAAAGATGTACTAACATATGACTATCAATGCCTCAGCAGCCTATGCTGTTTTGTGAGGTGTTTGATGTCTGGGGTATAGATTTAATGGGCCCTTTCCTTGTTTCTTTCGGTTTTATATATATTCTTCTGGCTATTGATTATGTTTCAAAATGGGTGGAGGCTAAGGCCACCCGGACTAATAATGTTCGAGTTATTGTGGATTTTGTCAGATCTAACATCTTTTGCAGGTTTGGTGTACCTAAAGCCATCATTAGCGACCTGGGCACTCATTTTTGTAATAGGTCCATGCAGGCCTTGCTTTGGAAGTATGGGGTAGTTCACAAAGTTTCCACACCATATCACCCCCAGACTAACGGACAGGCTAAGATTTCAAACAGGGAGATCAAGGGGATTCGAGAGAAGATTGTTCAGCCCAACAGGAAAGATTGGAGTACCAGGCTTGAGGATGCTCTCTGAGTGCATAGGATTGCTTACAAGGCACTTATTGGGATGTCTCCCTACCGGGTTATCTTTGGTAAAGCATGTCATTTGCCAGTGGAGATAGAGCATTGAGCTTATTGGGCTGTGAAGACTTGTAATATGTCCTTTGATCTGGTCAATGAGGATTGGGCTGTAAAGACTTGTAATATGTCCTCTGATCTGGTCGAATGAACTGGATGAGGAAAGGAAGTTGCAGCTGAATGAACTGAATGAGATCCTCCTTGAAGCCTATGAGAACTCTAATTTCTACAAGGAGAATACCAAGATATTTCACGATAGCTCGATAGCTAGGAAAGAATTTGTGGTTGGTCAACAGGTTTTATTGTATAATTCTACGCTTGGTCTCATGGGTGGTAAGCTTTGTTCTAAGTGGATTGGACCTTTTGTTGTGCTTAATGTTTTTCCTTATGGTACAGTTGAGATCAAAAGTGAATCCACAGGTAAGAGCTTCAAGGTTAATGGGCACCGCCTGAAACCTTTTCTGACTAACCCTTCTTTGGTGGACACCATAGTGGAGGAGGTTGCCTTGCTGGACCCCACATCTTTTACACCACCATGACTCAGGGAGTTTTCTTTCTCTCTCCTTCCTTTACTTTCACTGCATATGTCTGATTCTGATTGATTAGATTATCTGGATTGATATGTTTTTGTGCCACATTGAGACACTGTGTCATTTCAGTGTGAGGGGGGGAGACTTTTTGCTTTGGGTTTGTTTTGTTTCTGGTTTTTGTTTTGTTCTTGGTTTGGTTTGGTTTTGGTTTTGTTTTTGTGTCTTGTTTCCTTGTGGATTCTTGGATTTGTATAGGCAATAAACGCCTTGTGCACTCTTGGTTTTGAGTTTCCTAATATTCCATGGATTGAATTCTGTGTGTTTCTTGGCATGTTGAGTTTATCTTGAGGTTTGAGAGGTTGTTTTGAAAGTGACTGATTTACCATGTGTAAGGATTTGAGCCCCCATCTATTATTCTTTCTTGTGTGTATGCCTCTTGATTACTTGCACATTTGCCTTGGCCTGACTCTTGTTGATGATTCTTGATTCATATGCATGTGTGGAAATGATTAAAGAAATTTTGTTCTTGAGCCTCTGGCCAAATAAGCCTACCTTGATTGAATTCCTTTGATAGCCCCTTTGAGCCTATGTTTTTCCTCTTTCTTTGTTTTGAAGCTCATTATTAGCCTTAAGTGAAAAATCATGATTACCTTAACCTTAGGAAATTTTGGAGCTTTGGCATTGTTTTGAGAACAAGTGTGGGAGTGTGTGTTCATTGGATACTTTTGAATACTGTTGTGTATATTTGTTTGGTATCTTGTCTCTTCCAATAAGTGAAGAAAAAATAATGAAAATTGAAAAAAAAAAAAAGAAAAGAAAAGAAAAGAAAGAGAGACAAGGTAAGAAAAAAAAAGGAATAAAAGTGTTTGAGGGAGCCAAGAAGAGGATTAGAATTAGAGGTTTTGGGTATATTGACTTGGTCCCCATTGCTCCTCTATTCCCTTTAATTTTAGCTTCTTATCCATATTTTATCCTCCCTTATCCTTGGCCCTATTACAACGTCCTTGAAAAGTCCTTTTGATTTCAATATGCATATGTTTTGAGTGCTGATTTTAGAGGCTTGTCAAGTCTATGTGTTGCTTGTTTTCTTGAGTGCATTGAGCTGAAATTGAATACCTAGACACTTGAGACCTTCTGTGAGGTTTGGTTGCTTTTGATTCACCTCTTGAACTGATTGATGCTCTTGTCACGCCTTGAGATACTTGAACGATGCTCATGGCTGTTTGGTTGCTTTGACTGGGATTGTAACAGGTTCTTTGTTCCTTGCATTTTCTGAGATTCACATTGAATAATAAACTATTTTCTTTCTTGTGCTTTTCTTTTTGGGGTATTGTTGCATGTTCTAATTTTGCCCAGGGGTACAAAAAGCTAAGTGTAGGGGTATTTGATAGGCTGTATTTTAGTATAGTAATGCATATCATTATGGCCTTAATTACTCTCACATTTATGCTTAATTTCGTGGTATTATAATGTTTGTTAACTGTCTTTGAACTTGAGGGCTTAGTTGCAAAACTAAACAATTTTCGTTCTTTTTGGTAGTTTGACCATTGCTTGTTGTTAAAGCCATATCTGGAGCTACAAGACTCGGAATTGAGTGATTAGATATGCGTTGGAAAGCTAAGACACGGAGCTACAAATGTTTATCTCACAAGCTTTGTCAAATTCCAAGCCGAAGATGGTCATTTTTGAGCTCGAAAAGTACCCACGGAACTGTCCCTACATTTATCCATTTTTGGGCTTTGTTTTGTTATGTATTTCATTAATTTCTGGCCCAATTAGGAAAGCTTCGAGAAGATCCAATCATTGGGTCCAGATTCTGAGGGGGAATAACCCTAATTAAGGAGGAGAGGACCTTACGTAATTTTCCTTCAACTTTTTTAGCAATGGACAATTTGATTCTTAAAACAAAAAATTGACTTTCAGCCATGGTTACAGAGATTTTCAATACAAATGTGCTAGTTCTTCCTCAATTTATCCAATTAGAGTTTGTTTCTTCCTCTTCTCTCTTTCAATTCGCAAGTATGGTTTAGATTTATGCTTCTTGTGGTTGGGCTGTTGATGTTAATCTCTTTCTTGCATTTCGATTTTTGCTATCTGTTGTTGAATCTCTTGAGCTGTTGAATCTGCTGCTCCTTGTTCATTTTAATTTCGAATTTGCTGGTTATTCTTGGTTCTTGGTTCTTTTCAAAATTGTTGGATGCAATTTCGGTCTTTGATATGCTTTAGTATGTATTTTTTTGTTCCGGATTTTTATTGTTATTTTCCAAATTTTCGTTTCCAATCTTCAGCTTGGTATTTGGTTTTTAATTGATTAGTTATGATTGGATAAATCAACCTGCCTTTTTAATAGTGTTTTATTCTATTCTACTACAAGTGTTTGTTAAAATTCCTGAAAGAACTTGATTTTTCCAAAATCCCCCTATTGGTAATTTTAATTTCTTTGTTCATGGGAACCTTTGATTGAATCTGGTATTCCTTAGGAGACGATCTAGGTCGACCCCTAGCTGCATTTAATTGCAATATTTTTTATTGAGTACGGTTCTCATTAGGGAACATGCGTGAGATATGCTGAGAGTAAATTGGTATGTAAGTATATGCGCTCTAAGGAGTTTGGCTAGGGTTTTAGCTCTGACCTTGAGTTCAATAATTGAATCTAATGACTAAAAGTAAACCTTTGTGAAAATTTTGTTTTCTTTCTTTTTGAAAGTAAATGAGTAGTGTAACACTAGCTGGGTAATGATTGGAACTCAAGGAAAAAGATGAAGCTAGTGAGCTTGGAACACATAGAGAAAGTGCATTGTGGCACGGATATAAGTACTTGCCAATTCTCTATATATATGTGGTTCTGAATAGTTGATGAAATTATGTGAAATGTTATATTTGGCCAGCGCCTGTGTGCGTGATTAATGGAGTGAAACTCTGAAAATGTGCATGACTATTCAGAAGGCAAATATGTGGGAATTCTCACTCCCTGTGAAGGAAGTCACAAGGTTATTTTTTAACTGCTATTGGTGAAAGATAAGGAGGATGTAATGCCCTGAATTTTTGTAATATTGATTATTGTTATATATATATATATATATGTATATATGTGAATGGATGTTGGAATTTGCACTTGAGTACGTGATGATGATGTGAATGTGTATAAATGCACATGGATGCGTATAAATGTATTCGTATATGATTGGACTGGATTGATTGGGCTAAGAAACAGGTTAAGTGTGTAATACTGGGGTGTTCTCGCTGTAGCGAGAAGACCCTGGGAGGAAGACGTGAAACTGTCGCCTACTCACTGTAGCGAGAGGTCCCTCACTATAGCGACAGAGTAACAATTTGGGGTGCATTTCTAGGTACAATCTCGCTGCAGCGAGAGGGTTTCGTTGTAGCAAGATTCTACAGAAACCAGGATGCAGTTTTCTTTGATATTTTCTCTTAGTAGAAGTGGGACAGCATTTCCATGGACTTTGTTTCTGGGTTGCCAAGGACCAGGAACAACCATGATGCCATTTGGGTGATAGTGGATCGGTTGACTAAGGCTGCACACTTTCTCCTGATTAATATGAAGTATAAGTTAGAGAGGCTTGCGGACTTGTATGTAAGGGAGATAGTCAGGCTGCATGGAGTGCCAACCAGTGTAGTGTCTAATAGAAACCTGAGGTTTACCTCAAGGTTCTAGGAGAGCCTGTAGAGGGCGTTGGGCACTAAGTTGAAGCTTAGTTTGCGTATCGTCCACAAATTGATGGGAAAACCAAGAGAACTATCTAGTCCCTAAAAGACTTGTTAAGAGCTTGTGTGCTAGAGCAGTAGGGGACTTGGGAAGAATGCCTGCCGCTGGTGGAGTTCATATATAATAACAACTATCATGCTAGCATTGGGATGGCACCATTTGAGGCCTTATATGGGCAGAGGTGTAGGACTCCATTGTGTTGATATGAGACTAGAGAAGCGGATCTATGTGCGTCAAATATGATCCAAAGGCAGAATGAGCAGATCAAGATGATCAAGGAGAAGATAAAGGCTGCACAGGATAGGCAAAAGAGTTACTATGATAAGAGAAGGAAGTCGTTGGAGTTCCAGGTAGGAGACCATGTGTTTTTTAAGGTCTCACCTGTGACCGAAGTTAGCAGAGTCCTGAAATCTCAGAAGCTATCTCCTAAATTCATTAGGCCATTCGAAGCACTGAGTAGAATTAGTCCTACAGCTTACCGGATAGCGTTGCCTCTGAATCTCTCAAAACTACATCTGGTGTTCCATGTGTCACAACTTAGGCAGTATGTGCCAGATCCTTCCCATGTGATTGATCTCGACCCGGTTCAAGTAAGAGAAGACTTGTCCTATGAAGTATATATGGTGAGGATTGCAGACCACCGTACTAAGCAGTTGAGGGGCAAGGAAATCTCATTGCTAAAGGTGATTTGGAGCTTAAGTGATGAGGGAGATGCCATCTTGGAAACGGAGAGTAGAATGAGAGAGTTATACCCGGAATTGTTTGTGTAATCTATGCGCTTGGTTGAATTTTGGGGAGGAAATTCCCTAAAGGAAGGGAGAGTTGTAATGCCCCGAATTTTTGTAATATTGATTATTGTTATATATATATATATATATATATATATATATGTGTGTGTGTGTGTGTGTGTGTGTGTGTATATGTATATATGTGAATGGATGTTGGAATTTACACTTGAGTGCGTAATGATGATATTAATGTGTATAAATGCACATGTATACGTATAAATGTAATCGTGTATAATTGGACTGGATTGATTGGGCTGAGAAACAGGTTAAGTGTGTAATACTAGGGGTTCTTGCTGTAGCGAGAGATCCCTCGCTGTAGCGACAGTTTGGGATGCATTTCTGGGTGCAGTCTCACTGCAGGGAGAGGGTCTCGTTGCAGCGAGATTCTGCAGAAACCAGAATGTAGTTTTCTTTGATATTTTCGCTATAACAACAGGGGTTGTTGCCGCAGCGAGAATGTGGCGACCAGAGGGGTATTTTAGGGGTTACGGTTTGGGGAAAATCATTTTCCAGTTCTCCCTTTGAACTCTCTCTCATTTCCCTCGATCCCTAAGCCATTCTTATCGATTAAACTGTGTCCAAAGCCTTTTGGGTACAAGATTGAAGGTTGGAAACACATTTGGAGCTGTTTTCTTGATTTTCCTTAGTTCTCATGGGTTTCTTCCATGTATTTAGGACAAAATTCATGTGGGGAGCATCTTTTTGGTTGAGCTCCTTGGTTGAGTTTGTGCGTGGGTCTTCAATTTGAGGTAAGGGGAAACTCTAACCTATCTCATTTTGCTTGAGAATTCGTTTGTTTGCTATATTTTGTAATGTGATTGAGATATGATGTGTGAACTTGCGTATTTTGATGGACAATGCGTCGGGTAGGATCTTGATGATGCTGAATAATATGAATGGTTGAAAGGATTGTGTGGAACATAGTGTGTATAATGGAATAAATTGCTGGATGAGTATTATGTTGAAATTGTTGTCCGTGTGTGTTGAAAATGTTTTGCGTTGAATGTAACGTGAATGAATATGGGCACTTGTGTCGTGTGTTGTGAACAAATGTGGGCCTATGTGTCGTGCAATATGAATGACTATGGGCATTGTGTCGTGTGTTGTGAATGAATATTGTATGTGGCTAAAATGTGTGTGAATGGAGCATGATAAATGTCATTATAATGATCCTATTAATGGTTCAGCCATACACTAGAGGTGTGGAAGATGGTGACACCAACGGTGAGTGTGGGTGCACCACAGGCCACACACTCTCCTCCTGACTAGACCTTTGACCACTACCTTTTGCCGAGCGACTCGTGACCGTACATGTGGTATCCATGATGCGGGGGTAGCCAGCGACCATCCATGGTTTGAATTTATTATCATAGTGTCACAGTGAGCGTGGCTATGTGCAGTGAGCGCATATGTGTGCGTGTGTTTGTGAAATATGGTTATTGGTGTAGTGAGTACATCAGTTGTGAACTGAAATGGAAAGTATTAATTGTGATAGATTATGCTTATGTAAAATGTGTTAGAAATTATGTGAAATATTCGAGGTGAGACTCTACATTTGTTGGTGTGTATTAGATAGTGTAGAGTACTTACCCTTACATTTACTTTTTGGGTGATCAAGATGATCAGCACTGGAATCAGTGAAAGGATGGATTAAACTACTATAGGACTAGAAATCTATTAGAACTATGATGTAATTGAATTAGTCCTATAGCAATGATTTGATGCAAGTTGTAACCATCCTTATTTTGAAATATTTTAATGAACTATGTCTGGGAAAAACTATTTTGAATAAAATTTTATTCTCTCCCATTTATAAAATTTGATATTTAATGAAATTAAATTTAAGGTATTATAGACGACCTCGACGTCTAGGGGATTTAATGGAGTTAGGTGACTTACCAATAGCCCTATAAGTGTCCTAGGCCCCGAAACTCTGGCTTGGAGTCTCCACACGATGCTCTTTTATCCTGACTTTCTCCTGAGGCTTATCTTATTGGTCGAGTTAGATCAGTCAATGGAGGTTTAAGTGCCCACTATACATGTGAAATGTAGGGTAGCTAGTGAAACTCCCAATAAATTTTGAACAATAGGATTGTTATGGATCTAGAGTCGCATATGTAACATCCTCAAAATTTGGTCCATTTCTTTTAACTGATTATCCATTAATGTATTTTGTGGAAATGTTTTTCCTTTTCTCTCTTTCTCCTTCTTTTCCCTCTTTTCATTCTAAGTTATGCTCTATTCCACTGCTGTCATGATGTTGTTATTTATTTTATTATTATCTTTTTTGAAACATACCTAAATTCCTCTTGCAAGAATGAATGCTTTGTAACTCCCTTAGAACCTAACACTAGTAATTAGAAGGCTTTCTTTCCCGCCTTTTTTTTTAGCACACCATGAGTTACACCTTTCAAATTCCACTAGAGGCAATGTAGTTATTATTCACCCACCATTATACTATCCCTCCGAAAACTACTCCTCTTCTAATCATTAACTTACGTGAGAATGTTCGGGGAGTGAGAATATAAATCTCCTTGTTTGTGTTAAATGTCCATTGTAATTACTTTCATTGTTTCGAGTAATACGATGCAAATTGTAGTAGACTCTTTTATCCTATACATCTATCCCAAAAAGAAAAGAGAAGAACAACATTGGGTGCAGTCTTTGTACCTGATTAGGAGCCTTTTTCGTCTAGTTATTCATCTTTCCACGCAGTCCATAGATTGATATGACTCCTCATAAAAATTAACTCTAAGTGGAGTGTCATAAATTAATAAGGAGAGAAGTAAGGGGGCTGAAACATCGCTTGGTTATACATAGTAGAGAGAGAAACTAAACTTAGTGGAGGGGTTATATGATTACCCCCTTAAAGCTGGACATTACTGATAAATCCATATTTTACTAGTATTTTACCTTAATTTTAATACCTCTAATAAAGAAAACATGTTGAAAAAAGCAGAAAAACTCAAAAAAATAAGAGAATGATTAAAGTTTTCACTAAACACATAGTTGTTTTAGAATTTATGAATTTTCTGTGTAGAAATTAATAATTCAATCATATTTTTGCAGAAAATTCTGAGCTAAGTTCATGAGGTTGGAAGATCAAAGGAAAGATAGAAGGAAAGTAGCAAAAATGGAATCAAGGAACAAAGTTTAATGAAGCAAGAGCTAGGTGTGGTCACTATCGCTAGCGAAAGTGATTGTTCCAGAGCTTGAAAGTGAAGGGAAATCTGCACGTGATCACTTTCACTGATGAAAGTGAGCGTTCTAGATAAGCTTCAAGCATAGCAAAGCGCGCGTGATCACTTTTCATGGCAAAAGCGATCGTTCCAGAGAAGCCTCTAGGAATTTAAACTGCACGTTATCACTTTTGTTCACAAAAGTGATTGTTCTAGAGAACCTTCCATCAATGCAAAGTTGCGTGTGTCTCCTTTTGCCAACAAAAGTGAACACGCGTAGATCTCGACCTCAGCGTGGCTACTTTTGTGAAGAAAAGTGATCACTCCAGTTATGAAAAACATCAGAAAGGCCTTTGCGTCTGTAACGCCCCAATTTTTGCTCCCCTTTCTCTGTTTTTGGTGATTTCTGGGATTTTCATGGAGTTTCTCCATGTGTTTAGGCCGAGATCTGTGTGGGGAGCACGTCTGAGGCTGAGTTCGAGTGTGGGTCTTCAATCCAAGGTAAGGGGGGGAACTCTACCCTATCTCATTGTTGTTATTTGTTGTTATTTTGTTGAATATTGCTATGTGACCAAGATAGAGGATAGGGATTGTGTGTTGGATGAAATTGATGTGCAATGCGATGTGTGTTGGAATAGTTAGGCCCCGTAGGTGTGATTATGTGTGATGGAATGTCATTGATTGGTGAATTAATGTTATCGTGAATAAATGAAAGCTATGTGTCGTCTGTGGATAAAATGTGGGCTGTATGCCGTGTAACATGAATTAAATACAGGCTGTGTGTCGTGTGTAAGCATGAATATTGCGTGTGTGAATGAAATGTATGTGAATGGGCCGTGTTGGCGCTGTTATAATGTGTTATGAATGGTTCAACGATAAACTAGGGGTGTGGAAGATAAGGACGGTAGAAATACCTTGGAGAGGAGAGAGTGGTGGTGACATCGACTGTGGAACGGGTGCACCACGAGCCACACACTCTCTTCCTGACTAGACTGCTGACCACTACCTTTATTGAGCGACCCGTGACTGCCCACGTGGTATCTGTGAGGCGGGGGTAACCGGCGACCATCCATAGAAAATATGTTATCACAGTGCCACAGTGAGCGTGGCTGGCATGCAATGAGTGCATGACACTATTGTTTGTTAATTTCATATATATATGATTGTTTGGTGCCATGAGTGCATCGGCGACAAATTGAAATGAAAATGTTATTTATGTGTACTTTGCGTGTATTGAGTAGTGTAGAGTACTCACCCTTACATTCATTTTTCAGGTAATCAAGATGATCAGCATCGGACTCAGTGAAGGGACGGATGGATTGCTATAGGACTTACATTTTATTTTGAAAATGTTGTAATTGAACTAGTCCTATAACAGTTATTTGATATTAATTTATAACCCTTCTCTTATTTCAAATAATGTTATGAAAATTTGGTTATTCAAATTTGTGAAAATATTATTTAATTGAAATTAAATTTAAGGTGTTACAATTTTGGTATCAGAGCAGTTCATCCAAACCAAACTTGGGTATCGGGCTGAAGCGTCCAAGATAAGTGTTGATTGTTTTGTTTGCCTAAATTATAAATGTATCATTGATTTGAAGTGCTGGACTGTGATTGTTAAATTATGTAGCTTAGATTATGGCTGGTAGAGGTAGAGGTAGAGGTAGAGGAGCTAGAGGCTCCAATGACCTCTTGGAGCGCATGGCTTAGATTCTGGAAGCCATGGTGCACAATCAAGGCAGAGAGTCGGCTGAGTATCGAGGGTTATCTGCCTTTACTAGGCATAATCCTCCAAAGTTT